AGTCAGGCTGTCCTGGACCATTCAGGTGCAGCTGTGACAGCTGACCACAGCTCCGTGAGGGACCCCAGCCCAGATTGCCAACCCACAGAATTGTGGACAAATAAATGACCTGTTTTTAGCTGTCAACTTTTGGAGTGGTTTGTTACACAGCAGAGGCTAACTGATACACAATTCCTCATTTCTCTTCTGGTAATGAGATCCCACTTCCTTTTTTTCCCCCTTTTTAGATGTAGTCTTGCTCTGTCGCCCAGGCTGGAGTGCAGTGGCCTGATCCTGGCTCACTGAAACCTTTCACCTCCCAGGTTCAAGCAGCTCTTCTGCCTCAGTTGCCCAAGTAGCTGGGACTACAGGGGCTTGCCACCACACCCAGCTGATTTTTGTATTTTTAGTAGATTCGGGGTTTCACCATGTTGGCCAGGATGGTCTTTTTTTTTTTTTTGAGACAGAGTTTCGCTTTTGTTGCCCAGGCTGGAGTGCAATGGCGCGATCTTGGCTCACCACAACCTCTGTCTCCTGGGTTCAAGCAATTCTGCCTCAGCCTCCCTAGTAGCTGGGACTACAGGCGTGTGCCACCAGACCCAGCTAATTTTTGTATTTTTAGTAGAGACGGGGTTTCACCATGTTGACCAGGATGGTCTCGATCTCTTGACCTCGTGCTCCACCCGCCTCGGCCTCCGAAAGTGCTGGGATTACAGATACAAGCGATCGGACCCCACTGAGATCCCACTTTTTTTTTGAGACGGAGTCTCCCTGTATTGCCCAGGCTGGAGTGCAGTGGCATGATCTCAGCTCACTGAAACCTCCATCTCCCAGGCTGAAGCGATTCTCTGCCTCAGCCTCTTGAGAAGCTGGCATTACAGTTGCCCGCCACCATGTCCAGCTTTTTGGTATTTTTAGTAGAGACAGAGTCTCACCATCTTGGCCAGGCTGGTCTTGAACTTCTGACCTCATGATCCACCCACCTCGGCCTCCCCAAGTGCTGGGATTACAGGCGTGCACCACCGCTCAGCTCCGAGATCCCACTTTCACTTAGGGAGGCAGTGTGACAATCTCGGTAGATGGAACACAGTGGGTCTACTGAACCATGATAATTCTGTTCACTACTGTCTAGTGCCTACAGTCAGACCCTCCCACCAAGTGGAGAGAGAAGGCACCTCAGCTGTCCCTTCTGCATAGCCCAGCCTGCTGGAGGCCAGATGTGTCTTCTGGGCTCCTGGAAGTGGCAGTATTTGGGAAGTAGAAAAGTTCCTTTTCTTGTTAAAGAATAAGTGTGCTAATAACTCTTTGTGAAGCCCTATCCTATGTTAGACATGCTGTGCTTACAGGCACGTGGTACATTCTGTGTCCTTGTACTTTAACCAGGATATCTGTGCTAGACGTGCTCACAGGCATGTCCCAGCTCTCCATTGCTTTTACCTGTTTAGAAAAGTTTTAAGTTGTTAGCCAATCGGGTTTTAGTTTAGATTCTGAGGTCTGGCTCCAGTCAACGGAGAGTACACACAGCAGTAAGTACGACCCCAAATGCGTAAAGGATAAATTTGTGTGTTTTCCTTTGTTCATTGTACTCCCGTGACAAGATGGCTAGCGAGAGCACCTTCCTGCAGTTCAGGAAGTAAAAGTTGCGTTGCTCAAAGATCCTTTGTCTCAGTGCTCATTTTTCTTTGCAGCACGAGCCTCTGTGTCCAGCACAACAGGTACCACAGGGACTGCCACTGCAAGTCTGGTGTGGATGCCGCCGGGACCCCCTTAGGTCCGAGAGGGGGACTGGACCAGCTTGGCCAGAATGGCTCTTGCTGGAGCTACTGGTAGGCTCGTCCCAGTGGCAGCCCCCAAAGGAGTAGCAGCAGTCCCACCCTGGGCCCCTTTGACCCAGAGGACGCAGATGAGGCACATCGCCTGGGTCTCCAGGACCATGTTCCCACGGCTTTGCGCCTCAGCTGGACCCAGCATGGATGGCACCGCCACAGGAGCAGCTCAGTGGTACACTGTGCACCAGTAATCCAGAATGAGTGGACGCTCCCGCCCTGCCCACCACCGCAGGGCCTGGGACCCAAGGTGCCCTGCCCACATCCAGCCTGCCCCATGTTCCTGCACACAGCCCCGTTGCCCTCACCACTGCCCCAAAGCAGAACTTTTATGATAGAGATGCCTGTCTAACATAAAATTACTCTGAGCTCAAGATTGTGACTGGTTTAATCTGGAAGCCTACCCTTTTTTTTTCTGATACAGGGTCCCCCATGATTACCCAGGCTAGAGTGCAGTGGCACAAACACAGCTCACTGCAACCTCCGCCCCCTGGGTTCAAGCCATCCTCCCACCTCAGCCTCGTGAGCCACCGCACCTGGCCAACTATTGCATTTTTTGTAGAGACGGTCTTGGCGTGTTGCCCAGGCTGGACCCAAACTCCCGGGCTTGAGGGATCTCCTTGCCTCGACTTCCGAAAATGTTGGGGTTACAGGCCTGAGCCACTACACTTGGACAAACTTTTTTTTTTTTTAGATACGATCTGGCTTCGTTGCCCAGATTGGAGTGCAGTGCCATGATCATGACTCACAGCAGCCTCAAATTCCTGGGCTCAAGCAGTCCCTACCACATCAGCCTCCTCAGGGGCTGGGACCATTGGCGTAAGCCACCAGGCCCAGCCTGGAGCCTAACTTTATTTATTTAGAGACAGAGTGATCTCACTCTGCTGCCCAGGCTGGAGTGCAGTGGCGTGATCTTGGCCCACTGCAACCTCTGCCTCCCAGGGTCAAGAAATTCTCCTGCCTTAGCCTCCCAAGTAGCTGGGACTACAGGTATGCGCCTCCACGCTCAGCTAACTTTGGCATTTTTAGTAGAGATGGGGTTTCACCATGTTGGCCAGGATGGTCTCGAACTCCTGACCTCAAGCGATCTTCCAGCCTCAGCCTCCCAAAGTGCTGGGATTACAGGCGTGAGTCACTGCTCCTGGCAGAGCCTAACTTTAATAAACATTTCTCCTTTTCTTCCGGTATTTCAGTTCTTCAGTTAACTGTTCTGTCACCACAAGCCACTGATAGCCAAACTTAAATTTACATTTCCAAAATGTGTCTAGGGTTTTGGTTGCCACAGAGCTATTGTAATTTGTAAATCCAGTAATTTTAAAGCCCCTTGAATTTTTTTTTAATCTTGGCTAGAATGCCACAGCAGAGCGCTTTATCTCAACACAAGCAGAAACGGCAGCTCATTCACAGGAGGCAGGAAAAACAGACAGCTGGGGAAGCTCTACATGCAAATTCCAGACTGCAGGTTTTCTTGGAGAGGAGGAACAGTGGCCACAGATCTGAATTCTTCCTCCTGGGATCTGCCCATCAGCTGTTTTGTTGTTTTTTGTTTTTGGGATGGAGTTTTGCTCTTGTCTGTCTCCCAGGCTGGAGTGCAGTAGTGTGATCTCGGCTCACTGCAACCTCCGCCTCCTGCGTTCAAAGGAGTCTCCTGCCTCAGCCTCCCAAGTAGCTGGGATTACAGGTGCCTGCCACCACGCCCAGCTAATTTTTGTATTTTTAGTAGAGACGGGGTTTCACCATCTTGGCCAGGCTGGTCTCGAACTCCTGAGTTCAAGCGATCTGCTCGCCTTAGCCTCTCAAAGTGTTGGGATTACAGGCGTGAGCCACTGTGCCCGTACACTTAATTTTTAAAAAAATTTTTGGGCTTTGGGTCTAAAGGGCTGAGGGTCCTTTAGAATTCTCACCTCTACCTGGCCGGTCTGCAAGGCGGGTGCTCCTGCTGTTTCCACTCCACACGGAAGTGAGGAAATGGGGCGCCGAAAGGCTTTGAAGGACAGGCACAGATGAGCCAGGATGAAGCAGGTCCCTTCTGCTCCACATGGGAAAAGTGTCAGCTCCAATTATACCTCCAGGCACCAGTGAGAAAGGTCAGGTGGAGCTGTCCGCCCTCCAGCTCCACAGCATATGGCGGGTGCCACACTGAGCCATGGTCCACCCGCCTCCCCCACCCCAGTCTGAGCCACCAGTCAGAACAGCAGACAGCCACAGTCCAGAGAGAGCAGGGTGGGGAGAGACAGACACCCACTCCCAGAAGGGTGGCCAGCTGGGAACGAGCAGTCTGTGGGAGTGACCATGAGCTCAGATGCAGTCACCCCGGCAGGGACACCTGCTCCCAGGCCGAGGCTTGTCCCCTGGCCCCTGCAGGCTGCTCATCCACCTCTGCAAACCCTCAGCTGGACTCCTGGCCTGAGATGCCCCCAGAACTGAAAGGACAGGCCCGTGGCTGTAGCCGGTGTGAGCCCCAGCTCACAAACAAGCCAGAATCCCGCCGCAGGCCTGGGAGCCCCCAGAACTTCCCCGCCGCTCCCCAAGGAGCCATGTGTCTCCAGCTCCCTGGGCGCTGCCTTTGCTGGGTGAAGACATGGAAACACCCTTGCAGGTGGCCTGGGCTCACAGGGCAGAAGGTGGCTGGAAGGAGCCCCCACTCCCGCCAGGCTGTCTAGACACAGGGCTGCACCCCCTCCGGGGATGAGTCATCCTCAGAGCTGGGCTCCTCCTCCCCCTCCCCCGCCTGTTTTGCATCCTCAGGGTCACCCCTCTCTGCAGGTGACTCAAGGACAGCCTGGGAGAGGCTGTGGGGGAGGGAGAGTGGCATTCAGTACAGATACACACAGGAGCCCGGGGCTGTCCTCTGCCCACCGACCCCCGTCCCAGCCCTAGCTCTGCACAGGGAGGCCCTGGCAGGGAGGGGGCCCCTCTGGAGAGCCTAATTGCTGCTGTCACTGCTCAAGTGGGTCGCAGTGGGAATGTGTGATTTCTGAACACAGCACGTGCCACCTCCCCCACCCCCGCAGACACAGCTGGCCCAGGACAAGAACGTGCAGAGACAAGCCCCGGCCACCTGTCCGTGCTGCCAGGAGAGGGTTCTGGGCCAGCCCCCTGCCGGTATCCAAGGGCCCCAGGGGAGCTGGGAGAAGGGGAGTCCACCTTTTCCCTCCCGCCCACTTCCCAAGTAAACACACAGACAACACTTGGTCTGAGGATGATGGACATTTAGACACTGATGCCAGGTTTGCACCTGACCAGCGCCACGCAGGGGTGGGTGGCTCAGCAAAGACAGAGGTGGGCTGCAGGTGTCACGGGACACCAGCCGGGGCCGGGGGTGGCTGGGGTGAGAGTGGGTGTTTGGCCACAGTGACCAGGAGGGGCCAGGTCAAGTCCAGGTGGTCAGAGCCAGGGTCTCCAGGAGGGGAGGGCTGTGCCATACCCCTCACAGTGTCCAACGTCACCAGCGGGCGTCATAGAAAGCAACCTTGGCCAGAGACACGGGTATGCAGCAGGTGGGCAGGGTCAGCTTTGCTTCCACGGCGGGCAGCATTGCCCAGGCCAGATCCTGGCTCTCGAGCCCTGGGCGTGGTGCTGTCGGTCACACCATGGCCGCCGAGGCTGCCTGGGTCAGCTGAGGCTTGGGATCCAGGCAGCGGTGGAAGGCCGGGCTGCTCGAGGCTGGTACCTAACGTTCTGCACTGGGACCTGTGCTGACGGCGGCCGTCGATCCCCATTCCCACAGGAGGCCCTAGTCAGAGGCCGCACGCGGAAAAGGAAAAAGGCGCCTGGCCCTGGAGAACCACCAGCCGCCCCCGGTCAGCGGACACTCACCCCGGGGAACGTGGGCCAGGTCTTCCCACGCCACGGCTCCCGGCTCGTCGAACACCCTCAACGGGACAGAGCGCTGCAGGCCCTCACCTCATGCTTCCGCAACGCTGGAAGGGGGGTGTCTCTGAGGGGACGCAGGCCAGATGCATGGAGGGGCCGGCCAATCTCAGGGCCACAGACCCCCTTGGGCAGCAGCGGGTGCTGGCTCCTGCGGTGGGCCCGAGATACTAAGGCACGAAGCTAACCTAAGCCCGGTGGGGTGGGGCGGGGAGCACAGGCTCCGAGGGCTACGCCCCGGGCCTGCAAAGCACACAGTGACCGAGCAATGGCGACGGTCCGTCTCGGACAATTTGGCACAGGATGGAGGTGCGGGGTGATCCGGAGTGTCCATGGCTCTTGCTGGAAGGGGCGCCATGCCCTGGCCGCCTCCATGAAGGCCTCTGGATGCGGCGGGCACCGCAGCGCAGGCCCACGGGGCAATCTGGAGCCGGAGTGCCGGAGTCTGGGCGCGCGATGATGCCAAGGTGCTGCGGTCGTCGCCGGCAGGCCCTCCTCTGCAGGGATCTCAAGGAGGCGGCAGGAACGAGGACAGGAGAGCGGGCGGGGAACCTGGGAGCTCCGGCGCGCTCGGGCGGGCGGCCTCGCGCTTCAGGGGTGTCTGCGCAGGCCGGGGCGCGCGAGGGCCGGGCGCATGAGGTTCTCGGTGATGTAGGCCACCAGCAGGCAGATGACCACCAGCATGACGCAGATGGAGCCGCCCACCGCCGTCATGGCCACCACGATGTGCCGCATGCCGGCCGGCTCGGCGGTGAACTCCACGCACTCGGCGGGCTCGGCGGGCTCGGGAGGCTCCGGCGCGGGGGCGGCGGGCCCGGCGCGCAGCGGCAGCGGCTGCAGGCACAGGCGGTAGAGGACGCCGTCGTGCACGTCGGGCAGCAGGTAGTCGCGGCAGGAGGCCCCGAGCAGCACGCGCTCGCAGGGGAAGCGCGTGTAGGCGCCGCGCCACGAGCAGTTGAGCGCGAAGGCGCGCACGCGGCGCGCGGCGGCCGGGGCCAGGTGCCACTGCAGGAGGACGCTGTGGTTGCGCAGGACGCTGGCGCGCAGGGAGCGGCCGGCCGGGGCGTGCAGCGCGCAGCCCGGGGCCTGGCAGCGGAAGCCGCGCGCGGGGCTGCGGAAGCACAGGCGCCCGCCGCCCGCCTCGGGGCCCTCGGGCAGCACCTTGTAGGGGCACCAGGGCGCGTCGGCCGCCGGCTCCCAGCCCGGAGGCGTCGGGGCGGCGGCGGAGCAGGGCGGCGGCGCGCAGGCGGCCAGCAGCAGCAGCAGCGGCGGGGCGCGCATCCTGCGGCTGGGCCGGGCGCGGCGGGGCCCGGGGCGCGGCGCTGGGTCACGCGGGCCGCGCCGCCGCCGTCCCCGCTCCCCGCTCCCCGCTCCCC